GGCATGGCCATCCCCCCTGGGGGGTGATTTCTCGCTTTCTGTCTCTATGTCTCTCTCTGTCTGTCTGGCAAGCGCACGCGCCCTACAGTGAAAATCTCTCAAAAAACAAACAGAAAAAAAAAAAAAGAAAGCAAGCCTTAGCACTGCACTGCCGCTATCTTCTAGAACATTTGTGTGGTCCAGTTTGTTGTGTATGGGTCCATTGCAAGAGCTAAAGCTGGCAAGATCCACGAATGTTTGTTTTTACAGCATAAAAATGTTCAACTGCCTTTAAGACAGGGCATGTGTCCCTGGTGCCACCTCCCCTGCTATGCCTTCTTGTCCCTTGGAACTGATTCGCACACTTGAGATTACCTGCCTGGAACCCAAAACCATTTGAGTTTGCATCCTTGATCCAAACTGTGCTGTTTGAGAAGTAGGCTGGTCTCATTTTCATTTTCTATCTCCTAGATTTGTGGCTTTCAAATTTCAGTGTGGGTCAAAGTTCCCTGGAATGCTCGTTAAAAATGCTAACTCCTAGACTCTACCAACACTTACCAAAACACTATCCCTGGTAGTGGATGCCTGGAGTCTGCATTTTAAACAAATGCAGTAGGTGATTTTTAATGCAGGTGGTCAGAGAAAAACACTTGAGAACACTGCCCTGGGCTCTTCATCCTTAACCAGAGCTATGTCCACCATAGTTACCATAAGGTACCAGTACTGCTTACAGTCGAGCCTCTGCCTCAGAGGCAAAAACCCAGTTGTGGTAGACCAAGAAGCATCAAGAAGGGATAATGCATCTTCATCTTCCTTATGAAAATAAGGCTATTCCAAATAACTCTTGGATCCTAATGTGTCCCTAATGGATGGGATCTCAGGGATTATGGGGCAGTCCACTCTTCTTTTTCTTTCTTTTTTTTTTTTTTTTTGGTGAGAAAATTGAGGTTCAGATCTTTATCTTTTCCCTTTTTAAAAATATTTTAACAGATGGTGCTTACATTCCCTAGACAAAGAGACATATGCAGGGAGAGAAGAAAAGCAAGAAAGCATGCCTATGAGGCATGGTCACATGGCAATCCCTTCTCCTCCATCTCTCCCTCCATTTGGGATTTTGAGTATGCGCATAACACCTGCTACATTTCTCCCAGTCACAGGGCCAGAACTTGAACCTCGATCAGTGATAAGGGGCCCAGTTCCCTTAAAACCTAGACTATGGAGACCGCTTGAGATCCTGATCCTGGTTTTGTTTACTGAACATTTATTGAGAGCCTGACTGTGCTAGCTTATGCAACGGTACAAGTTCTCTTTGAATCTACGTGTTTATTTTTTTTTGCCTGCTGAGGCCTAGAAGAGTGCCATGTACATTGTAGATGCTCGTGGTGGATGGATGAATGAATGAGCAAATGATCAGATCAAATGAAATTTGCTCTCTGTAAAAAATGACAAATACAGAAAATGATTAGAACCCTGCAAGAACCCTCCCATTTATTTAGTATCTTGATTAATGCCATCATCCTTCTTTCCATGCAGCCTCCCCATTATACGTTTTTCATGATTTTAACTTCATAACCTATATTATTGTTTGAAAAAAATGTAATATTTATCTGTAATAGCGCTAAAACTAGGACTCGTATCATTGCCATCTTTGAGTTTTATTAATGATGTGGCTAAAAGTCTAGGTAGGGCAATGCAGGCTTCTGGTAGCATTATACTTCATTTTCTTGCCTGCTCTAGAAAACTCCTTTTCTCTTTTCCAGGGAAATGGGTGATCCATCCCTCAGAGCTCACTTTTGTGCAGGAAATTGGCAGTGGGCAGTTTGGATTGGTGCATCTTGGCTACTGGCTCAACAAGGACAAGGTGGCCATCAAAACCATCCAGGAAGGGGCCATGTCAGAAGAAGACTTCATAGAGGAAGCGGAAGTCATGATGTGAGTGGCCAAAGCAAGGTTGTTAAGCACCCTAGGGTGATAGTCTGTGTTATCCAAGGACTTGCCATTCCAGTGCCATGCCATGCCGTCACTTGCTCAAATTTCAGCAGTGGCTTCCAATAGCATGGCGAGTAAAATCAAACTCCTCACCATGGTCACCAAGGCCCACCCTGGTATGGTCCTGCCCACCTCCCTAGTCCCATCTTTTACCTGTTTCTCCTATAGTCCATGACATGCCAGCCACACTGGCCTCTGGTTTGTTTTCGTTTTTGTGTTTTCATTTGCTATATAGGACATGTGTATTCACCAGAGAGAGAGACACAGGAAGAAAGAGAAAGCACCCCTCAGAGGGAATGGTCATGCCACAGTCTCTTCTCTTCCGTTCTCCTCTTGGGATTTTGGGCATTCATGCACACGTACCTGGCATGTTTTCCATGCCGCTGGGTCCTGGACTCAAACCCCATAGTCGGCCATGTGGGATCCAGCTGCCTTAACTGCCTTACCACCTGACTGGCCTGCTTCTGTTCATCTCCACACATACCAGTCCCCGTCCTTCAGATCTTAGCTCAAATAACATGGTTTTTGCTTTTTTTTTTTTTTTTTAATTTTTTTAAGAGAAGTTTTTGTTTTGTTTCTTTGTTTTTTGGGGGGCTATTTCTTTTTTTTTTTTTTGAAGAGGGGGTTGCTACAGGGCACGTGTGCTCAGCAGAGAGACAGAGAAAGACAGACAGAAAGCTAGAAATCACCCCTCATGGGGGATGGCCATGCCACATTCCCTTATCCTCCATTCTCTTCTCGGGATTTTGGGCATGCACGCACAGGCGCCTGGCATGAGATTTAAGCCTCCGGGTCCAACAAAGTAACCATTATGCTACCTGCTGATCCCCAAATAGCATGTTTTTGTTTGGGGAGGGGGTGGATTTTGTTTGTAAAGCCGTGCGTGGGATAAAGTGGCCATCAGCTATTTTGGTGTCATGGGATGCTCAGCACTTCTGGAAGACTGACTTTGGCCATCTCACCCCTTGCCTTTTTCCCGCAGGAAACTCTCTCATCCCAAATTGGTTCAGTTGTACGGGGTGTGCCTGGAGCAGGCGCCCATCTGCCTGGTGTTTGAGTTCATGGAGCACGGCTGCCTGTCGGACTACCTGCGCAGCCAGCGGGGACTTTTTGCCGCAGAGACCCTCCTGGGCATGTGTCTGGATGTGTGTGAAGGCATGGCCTACCTGGAAAAGGCTTGTGTCATCCACAGAGACCTGGTAAGAGCACTCAGGGTGAACAAGTGAGGTCCGGGATGAAAGGGCACATCCCACAGAAATGAAGAGCTACCAAGACTGGACATGCATTAAAAGTAACAAGTCATGGAGCCAGCAGGTGGCATGGAGGTTGAGGTGCTGGACTTCCACAGGGTCAACCATAGTTCGAGTCCCAGACCTGGAGGCTTGCTTTCTCATGCTCCTTCTTTCTGTCTCTGTTTCTCTCTGGTCAAATTAAATAATAATAATAAATAAAAATTGAAATAAATAATTCTATGTTTTAAAGTTAAAAATAATAATAATAACAAATTACAGACCATCTCTTTTCCTCTCTCAACTTTTCCCTTCCTCTACCCACTTTGGGAGAGCTGATGAAGAAAGTGCTGCCTAAGGACTCAGATCTGGGTTATAATCCTGCCCTACCTCTAACTTTCACCCTTCATGTTTCAGTTACAGCCTTCCAAAACAGAGCTAACAGTCACTCCTTCTTGTCCTCTCTCTGTTTCAATTTCTTCCCAATAAGATGAGGAAAATGGACAAGTCCAGTTTTTCTCAAAGTGTTACATAAAAATTGACCAGAATCTCACTGGGATATTCCTTAAACTACCCTCAGAATGCCTGATGGCTGGGGTTTAGGAATCATTGTTTTAACACATTCCACCTGACAGGTAGGCACTTTAAAATTTTGGACTCCTGGTTCGAGTCCTGGACCTGGCAGCTTGGTTTCTCACTTTCTCTCTCTCTATCTCTGTCTCTCTCTGGTGAGCTTACATGTCCTGTAGCATATTGAAAAAGGGTAATAGTAATGATAAATAAAAATAAATAAATAATTCCTTTTAAAAAATTGAGACTTACAGAAATCCTCTGTCTCCAGGGATCTTCTCATGCAGCATTCTCTGATACTAACTAGGGGCCATTATTGTCCCTATTGAGGATTTCTTTTAAGAGGATTAATAACCTCAAAACATCCTTATGTTAGTCAAATGGAGATATTGTCTCATATCACCCCTAACTGTATCATTTTCTATCCCATAGAGTTGCATTTGAGCATCTCATTGATTAGATAATGTCATGGATTTCTCCATGGATTTTTCTTCTAATTAGTATTTAGGAATAAAAGATACACTTACTCACCCTGATGACACATTCAACTTTCTAGCTAACTTCTAGGAGGCGGTTGTGAAGCTTAATTACCATTTGTAAAACCCCTGGTTGTCCTCATTCACACAAAAAACACACAAAAGAATGTGATTACAGAAGACTCCTTAATTGCTGATTACCCACCAACTGTTTTCCTTTCCCTTTTGTTTGCCTGTCTCCTCCCCAGGCTGCCCGAAATTGTTTGGTGGGAGAGAACCAAGTCATCAAGGTGTCTGACTTCGGGATGACCAGGTAACAGGGGAATGAGGTGCCTCCCAGGCTCAGGTATGGGAACTCAGGCTCCTCCAACATCTGACCGTCTCCCTCACTCTCTTCCTAGGTTTGTCCTTGATGATCAATACACCAGTTCTACAGGCACCAAATTCCCGGTGAAGTGGGCTTCCCCAGAAGTGTTCTCCTTCAGTCGCTATAGCAGCAAGTCAGATGTGTGGTCATTTGGTGAGTGTCATTTTGGCCCCATCCTCACATGATCTGGGATTGGGGCCCAGCAGTTTTCTGTGTCAAACGCAAACAGCCCTACTTGCACTGAACCCTGTGTCACGAAGGCCTCCTATTGAGGGTTTGCAAGAATGGCCCTGAGAAGTACGAAGGGGTCCTTGTTGTATTTGTTCGGGAGGTCTTTGAAATGAGCGGTGGAGGGTAAGCATAAAACTGGAAACAGGATTCTGGTGGCAGCTGCTGTGAGGTAAAGAAAAACTGAAGGCGTCAGATGATCGGATATAAACTCCTTGGAGTCAGGGACCGTGTTTTCTCCAACATATTCCCGTGCATGATCCTCAGTAAGGACTTTAGTCATTCACTCGATAATTTATTGTGCAGGTGTTTTATGCTAGCGGCTTATCTAAGTGTTATGGATGCAAAGGTGCACAGAGGGGAAAGGACATCTGTACTCTTGGAGCTAAAATTGGGAAGTGTGGGAACAGATGACAGTAACACGAGCAATGGATGTGAGATAAAGTCAGGCATTGATAGATAGGTGCTATGAGTAAAACATGCACAAAAATATACCACGTAAAATAGTAATGAGAGAGTGACTGCGATGGGAGGAGGATCTTCTTTAATATGGTCTAGAAAGTCCTCTAGGAGGAGGTGACTCGTGAGCAGAGACTTGAACAATGAGAAGAAGCTGTCCCTGTTTGAAGAGCTGGGGAACAGGGTCCCTAATAGAGGGACCAGCAAGTGTAAAAGCTTCCTGTGCACAAAGAACAGGAGGTACTGACTCATGGGGGAATAAAAGACAGTGAAGTTGGCAGCAGATGGTGAGGAATTAGAATTTCTGAAAAGGGCAATGGGCACGTATGAATGAATGCATGAATGAATGACGTGGGTGTGGCAGGAAGTATACAATGTCCTTACTGGGTCTGTCATGTGACCCTAAGCCACAGTTTAGGCATACTAAAGCATGCACGAAAATGTACCAGATAACCTCTTTGATTTGGATTACAAGGGTGTGCTTGGGACAAGGACCGCTTGAAGACCGATTTTGCAGTATATAGGAAAGAGAAGCTTACTAAAGACTCCCTAGTACTCGAAGCTGGCTAGTTAAATCTCAGGAAAACGAGTTTTAAAATCTTCTATAGCATTTTAGAATATCCATTTCTAATAGCCAAGTGGTTTGTGCACTGAGTCCTTCAGATGTTTTTTAGAACAGTCCCCTAGTCACCAGGCCTAGTGAAAACTGTATTAGAATGTGGAACTTGGAAGAAATTGGCCTGACAACGTTCTTAGATAATACCCTTTTCCGCAGTGAGTGTAACTAGGAAGGTTAGGGTCATTGTGTGGTCATCTCTCTGTGGGTGACGAAGCTGATCCCACAGTGCCAAGCCCCACAGAGATGTTTGAACAATAGCCACTTTGGCACCTTCACCTTCTGATTCTAAATGGGGCTTATTCAGCCCCAGGGTGTCAGCCTGGGAATTTTCTGCTACATCTTATAATTAGAGGGTTGGGCTTCAATTCATTTCTGCCTAGGATGTGTTACCGAAGGGAATTCAGAGATGAAGTTGACGGATGGATATATACAGTAGAAAGGGTTCAGTGAAGGAGAGCACAGAAAACAGCAGTGGCGAGCCAGACAGCGAACACCTGAGAGGACTGAGCTTTGCCAGCCTCAGCCTGTGCACTCTTGAACTACTCTAGTAACCTCTTTGAGCTTCATTCAGTTTTCTCATCTATGCATTAAAAGGCTTGCATGCAAGCAATTGCTTTCTTTTTTTAAATCTCTTTCTCGCTCTCTGTCTCCCTCTGATGAACACATGTGCCTTACAGCAAATTAAAATAATAATAATAATAAATAAAATTAAAAGAAAGCAATTTTTTAAAAGCCATGTTTTAACAGCAGCATTTTCTCTTTCAAAGGAAACATCTCTAGTATTCCTGGTGTCTTGGAAAACCAAGCAGTCCTAATTCCAGTCAGGTTCTGAACTTCCAACTCTATTATTTATTTATTTATTTATTTATTTCTATTTTTGCTATAAGGGCATGCAAGCTTGCTAGAGAGACAGAGAGAAAGAGAGAAATCACCCCTTCCCCTACAAGGGGATTGCTACACCACAATCCCTTCTCCCCAATTCTTCTCTGGGAATCTTGGGCATGCCTAGCGTGAGGTTTAAGCCAGGACTCAAACTACAGTTGTCTACATGGGAGTCCAGTGATGTAACCATTATGCCATCTGCTGGTCCCTGAACTTCCAACTCTCGACTCATCTCTGAGAACTCTTAGAAATACTGGTTTACTGGAGCTGGACCCAGAAATTTGCTCTTTGAACAAACTTCCTGAGATGATTATTTTATACAGGTGTTTTTTTTTTTTGTGGGGGGGTGGGGTGTTCCAACTTTGAGAGACCCTGCCCTCACATACTTACGAATAGACCCTGAAAAGCCACCTATCAGAGGTTCTGCAGCCTCTCTTCACACTCCAACAGTTATGAATATATCAGCACACGGTAAAGATAAAAGCTGGGTGTGACATTACTATGTGGGGCAGAGGAAGAAAAGGTTAAAAATGGACAATACTGGGACTGGCAGGTGACGTGGTTAAGGGCGCTGGACTCCCACATGATCGACTATGGTTCGAGTCCTGGACCTGGCAGCTTGCTTTCTCACTTGCCCTCTCTCTCTTGCTCTGTCCCTCTCCGGTCAAATTAAATACATAAATAAAGTTAAATAAAATACTTCTCTTAAAAAATGGGCAATACTTTCTCACTTTCCTTTTCTCTCTCTCCCTGACATACGCCCTACAGCAAATTATTTAAAAACAAACAGACACTACAAAGGTGTGTTTTGCTTCGTCTACACAATATTTAAAAAATAAAATTGAGTTTACATTTTTAAACTCTCAATTTCTTACTTCTTTTTAAAAATCAGAATATGGGGGCGGGCAGATAGTGGTTGTTAAAGGTGCTGGACTCCCTCATGGCCAACAACAATTCAAGTCTTGGAACTGGTGACTTCTTTTCTCACTTTCCCAACTCTCTCTCTGCCTCTCTCTGGTTAAATTGGAAAATAATAATAAAATTGAAATAAAATAATCTTTTAAAAAATCAGAGAATATTATAGCTCTGAGCTCTTATCTCCTTTGGCTGGAGCCAAATTGCAGCCGTCCCCGTTAAGGTGGAACTTTTGATCACCAGTTTACACAGTCCTCTCCAGCGCCTATTGGGTCACACCTCACCCACTCCATTCATTTATACCATATGTGGAGACATTTGAGTTGATGTCCTTTGTAACTTTCAGTCATGGTGTTTAAGTTATTATAGATATAACAAAGGGTTGAGCTTGAAAATTCTTCGCCACTAGACAGCTGAGAAATGTTCTTTTTTTTTTTTTTTTGGAGAGATTTTTCACTGTAGGGCGCGTGCGCTCGCCAGACAGACAGAGAGAGACATAGAGACAGAAAGTGAGAAATCACCCCCCAGGGGGGATGGTCACGCCACAATCCCTTCTCCTCCATTCTCCTCTCGGGATCTTGGGCACGCACGCACACGCGCCTGGCGTGAGTTTTAAGCCACCAGGTCCAGGACACGAACTGTGGTCGACTACGTGGGAATCCAGCGACATAGCCATTACGCGAACTGCTGGTTCCCGAGAAATGTTCTTTATAAATAGGACAAGCCTAATAATCCTCTGGTGGGATTGATGTTATACTTCGTCAGTAGATACTTAAATTTTATTTTATTTTATTTTAAGTACTTCTGTGTTTAATTTTATTTATTATTATTATTATTATTTATTATTTTTAAATTTGACCAAAGAGACAGAAAGAGACAGAGTGAGAGAAGGAGAAAGTGAGAAAGCAAGCCACCAGGTCTAGGACTTGAACCATGGTCTACCATGTGGGAGCCCAGCATCTTAACCACCACGCCACCTGCCAGCCCCGGTTCTTGAATTTTAATGCCCAGGCATGTGTGATCTAGAAGTAGATTGTTTACTACTTGTGGCCTTTGTCATCAGCTGTGTTGTGCTCATCATTTCTGCAGGTGTGCTGATGTGGGAAGTCTTCAGTGAAGGCAAAATCCCATATGAGAACCGAAGCAACTCGGAAGTGGTGGAAGACATCAGCACCGGATTTCGGTTGTACAAGCCCCGACTGGCCTCTTCTCAGATCTACCAGATCATGAATCATTGCTGGAAAGAGGTCAGTAGAGGGAGTGGTTTCCCCCTGTCTCTCATATAACCCAGCTTCAAGGCCTGCCTTGTTCCCTAGAGAAAGGAACCCTCTTAGAGGGAGGAGGCAGCAGG